GCTCCCGATCACATGATCGGACGGTTATCGTAAAACGCAAACTTTAACTTATTGAATCGGAACATCCGGAGCTCCGATTCACGATACGCGAATTCCTACACGATCCTAGGAATGTCTAGATCAACATATATAAAATTGGAAGCGATCCAACGGTTCGAACATATTGAACTTGGAAATCGCACAATAGGCAAAATCTGTTCGGGCTTCAAACGACATCCAAATTGAAATCCGAAAGTACCTACGCACTTGTGAGGACCAGTGGATCATTCTGGAACCCTAAGCCAGTCCAAAACTTGGCCCAAGTATTGCCGCACTTGCCGGCAGCGCGTGGGTGCCCAAAGCGATATCACTCGCCAGAAAATCTCAAAATTAAGGGCCAAGATTCCTACCCTAGGTAAATGACACCATTTGAAGCCACTTTTGTTCTTGGACCTATCCCAAAAAGTGGTCGGAAGTGGCCGGAATTTCAATTCGAAAACTCGCCAAAACCTAGGTTGTAAATTGGGTTACCAAAACTAAAAATTGATCAAAACCTAACCAATCATCAGTTAGAGCACGAAAAATGGGTGAGAAACCATCCCTCACACGTCGGAAACGGTGGCCGGAGGAGAGAGATCGAGCAACTAAAAATTCAATGTAAACCGGTCGGATTTTCGCAGAATATGGCGACGGCAATGACTCCTGGCGGTGGAGACCGGGTGGTTAAAAACCAATTTTAACTTATTTACGATTATGCCACTGTGATGTTTTGCTCGTAACTTTTTCGTTACAACTCCGATTCAAGCCTACCGCATGTTTACGGACTCGTCTCAGTTCGAACCACGTAAAGGTACTAGCCACTGTCCCGAAATCCTTTCGTATTAAAAATTACCAAATTACCCCTACTCCATGGGCAAAATTGTAAATTCATAATTCTTGAAATTAATTAATTTACTATTCCTTTTATTTTGGGTCGGAATGTTACACTCACACAGACAACTGGAGATGACACATGTCAGCATCTAAGAGCTTCATCAATCAAATGAAATCATATGCCAAAAAGGAACAAATCATCCAGATTATAGGAGGAAGTTAGAGAGAACAACAAGGAAGAAAAGAAGACATTACTTAAACAAACAGCAAGATGCCACTAATAAGCAAACAAAGAAAATACCAGCACTTTTCTCGCAAATGATACGCACAACATAGCCTATCTAGTTAGAAAATTATTAAGCCAAGTTGCCAAATGACATGTCTCACATCACACACCGTGAACAAGGTGATTGGTGTCAAGAAGGCCACAAGTAGGCCCTATTTGGCTTCCTCTCTGGCAGCTTCCTACCTTACCCAAGAAAAGGCATCAGTGATGTTTCCTTCTATAAATCGTATCTTTTGGCATAGGTAAATTACACAAGAACTCATGTAAAATTGAATCCTAGAACTTACCCTCCAACACAGTTCTTGAGGGGAAGAAGGTGTCATTAGGCTCAAAATGAATTGACGATATTAAATCATAGCACTTTGGATAGGGCTCAGGAGAGTTATAATCTCCATCACCAGAAATGTCGCACCAATGGACATTAAGTCAGCAAAATCATAATTGAAATTTATAAATATAGTATGAAGAATAAATGAAGAAACAAAGAAGAAATTGAACAAAGAACCAATGAAGAATTGCACTCACCGTTTGACTATGGCAGCAATACGTCTACGAACAAACTCTACGTACAAAGATTCCCAATCTAATAGGGTTTTCTTTTTGAGATTTTCTATTTAAACCCCGCACTTCTCTTTGTTCACCCCAATACTTAAATCATTAAGCTGTAAGTTTTATTATTGTGTAAAAAGACAAAAAAGGTCATCTAACTTAATAATTAACCCTAGTACATCTATACACACACCCCACCACTCTTCATAT